ATTCTTATCAATAATATAACTGTAGCTACCAGTTTGGCCACTAATTTTGATTTCCTTCCTTTATGTTGCACACTAAATCCTTTTTTGGCCACATCTTTTTTCCACACCTAAGATATTTTTGACTAGATATCATGACATTTTGTCAGTGCACACCAACAAACAGCACCAAATACAAAAGAGACACTCAACAGTAACTAACATTAGCTTTAGGATCACAACCCTATGATTTGGAACAAATATTTCAATTGACAGAAACAAACAGATTCTTTAAGAAATATGGTGGTAGTTTTTCCTCTCTAAAACAGTGTGAATAGCTTCTTTTATAATAACGCCATGGAATTTACACTAACAACTTCTTGTCATCACACCCATTCAAACGATACAGCTGTATCAAGCATCAGTATTTATGCTAATTGCTTAAGCGAATGTTGCGTGACACTAAACTCTCTTTAATCAGGATAATTTCATAAAAGTTAGTAAATTTGTAGTGAAAAGTTGGCAATGAATGATAAATAATTACCAACTATCCATATTATTATTTTGAAAACTTGAGCTAGAAACTGTTAATCAAGTTTGCTTGGCCTAACCATTACTGCATATCTTTTCACATTAAAGTGACTATTTGCGTAGGCATGCACAAAAATGTTCATTAATTTGGAGTGATTTTTGTTGAACAACTTTGCACATGTGGCTTATATTTACACCAAATGAGACTCCTTATTGTAGGTTGTAAAGATCTATCAGTGTACTATATTTGAAAAAAATCCATGAAAGTTAAGTATGTTTTTCTATCAAATAAAGTCTCTGTACTTTTGGTGTGAAGAAAAAAAAAAAGAGGAAGAAACTCAATCAAAATTGCCTTGAAATTTGGTATGTGAAGTGAGAGTCTATTAGAGCACATCCACTGAAAATATGTGATAATTTGGAATACCACAGTCCGAGCTACAGAAGGTGGAAAAATGCTGAATCAGCACTCCTGTTAATAGCACACAGTGTGTCTTGAAGGTTGTATTCTTGGCCACAAAACCCACTATCATGTATCTTTATTAATGGCTAGTTTAATATTTACACAAGCTAGTGAGTTCATCATATAATATATATTGTGTTTTTCAAGAGTTTGAATTTTTTTTACTTTTCATTTGGAGGGTTCAAAGGACTAATAACATAAATTTTGCACAAGAGGTCACTGAAATAGTATTGAAACTAAATCATCAGCAAAACATATTCCAGGTGTTTAATATATGATGTTTTGTTCTATTGTTTTCAGAAGCTACAAGGAGGAATGTCAGATGCCCAATGGCAACAGAAGAGGAGGTGGTGAGTTGTTCGAAGGATTTATTCAAGTATGCTGGGGGAAAAAAGGGTGAGAGAATAGAATGTGTAAGGAGAGGTGGATGGGCACAGAAGACAAACCATATGAATTTTTCATTTTATTTGGTGTGATATACACTGGGCACAACAGAGTAAGTATTAGTTTATACATGTCTGTGTGGCCTAAAATACATAAATATTTTACAATATTAAATGGTAAGAAAGCAATGTAAATTCTTACAATTCAGCACACATACTGAAAAGAAACATAGAGAGCTGACCAAGACACGTTTTCACAGTAAAGTGAAATATTTTTAAAAGGTATCAAAACAAATAAAAAAATTCAATGCGCTCTACCAGTGAAAGTGGGTTTTCTCGGGGTACTCCCGTTTCCCCCCACAACAAAATTGTTCATTGGATCCTGTGATCCCCGCCCTGAAAAGGACCGTTTCACGTTTAAAAGTTTAAAGGTAAAGTTTTAACAATAAATTAGTTAACCATGTAGCGGTATACAACCGCAGTGTGATCTAGACTACAGCGGACGTGCTCAAGCTGCATCTCCCTGCTCTACTCGGCGAGGGATCAACGCCACGCGACCAACGAAAGCTCCCGCGCTGCAGTACGAATGACAGAATGAAGGAAGAGTAAACATCTCAACGAAGCTCTCCGTCCTGCTCTGCTTAGCCACGTCTCCAAGCAGCTTTTCCCTCAACGCTTTTAAAACCCGCTTCGAAAAATATTACTGATAAATCTTCAATGTAAATGTCTAAACCA